TGTTGCAATTTACATGAATCAGTTTTGACTATCGCGTTGCGAATTTGACTTTTGTGTTACAAATTTGACTATCGCGTTGGGAATTTGACTTCTGTGTTGCGATTTACAGGAATCAGTTTTTTCTTAATATAATTCAAAATTTAATTTTTTTAAATGTATTTCATTAGTCTGAGTTGAGGATTCTTTCAAATTTCAAACTTTAATTAATTGAATTTAGAATAATTTGTAATGAAGATTGACAAATGAAATAGATTTGTTGTTTATTTACATATAAATTTTTTCACGTGTACGAATATTTTTTATAAAAATTATTTATGTAATTTTCCAACAAATTATTATAGATAGATAGATGATAAGAGATAATTTACATATAGATTCGTTGCGATTTTACTATTTACGTTGTGATTTTTACTATTCACGTTGCGAATTTGACTATCGCGTTGCGAATTTGACTTTTGTGTTGCGAATTTAACTATCGCGTTGCGAATTTGACTTATGTATTGCGATTTACAGATTCGCAACGCGAATTTGGAAAATCACAAACGCGAATTTGGAAAATCGCAACGCGAATTACATATTCGCGTTACGAAATTGGAAACTGGGTTGCGAAATTGGAGTTCGCGTTGCGAATTTGTTGGTCATTTTGGCAAATCCAAAAAAAAGTTAGTTAAAATCGTATATTATAAGATATTTTCGGTCACTGAGGTTATTTTCTCTTTATTCATTCATTGACAACTTGTTTAATTTAATTTTTATTTTATTATTTTTATTAAATTTGGGTGATGGATGGTATCTAAGGAACAAGCTTCTTTTGGATTCAATATATGCATGATGAAAGAAGTAATTGGATCCAACACTCGTTCCATGGAGGACGAATAAGAAGTCTTAGAAACTATTTGATTCTTTTATATCGAAAAAGAGATAGGGTTGTTCAAAGATCGAATCTAAAACTCATACGATTAAAAAATTGATAATATTTTTTTTATAATATTAACTAATGGTCTGATGAATATCTGTCATGATCCGATGAATATCTGTCATTTTCGGTGAATATCTTCTTATTTCTTACTGTTAATCTCAGTTTTTAATTTCTCTCATAAACATATCATGCTCTCTCTCTCTATATATATATATATATATGAAATAGGACATGAAAACCACCATGGTTGAACCAGCTGCAGCCATGCCCTACCTTTGTGATCAAAGAAAAGATAATATTTTCCATCCCTTTTTGCTAGGGTAGGAAGCCCTAATAACCCATTATGAAACAACTCATTGTTCTTAAAAAAAAAGGTCTTTTTTCTATTAATATATACACATAGGGATGGGTATGAGACAAGTTTCGGCCAACCCGACCCGACCCAAAAATTTTATATCATTCATCAACCTTACCCGAAAAATATATACCCTCCACCCGACCCGATTTTTTGAGAGAAAATCCGAACCCGACCTGACCCGACCCGAAATAATAAAAAATATTATTTTTATTCAATAAAAACATTGACTTAATTGAAAAAAAATAATATATAGAGGGTATTATTGTAATTATTCCTAAATATATAAGGTAAAATTATATATTTTTTCGAGTCAGGTCGAGTTGGACATTTTTCACCCTACACTTGAATCTGACCCGACCCAAACATCGCCTTTAAAAAAACCCAACTTGACCCCAGATTTTTTTTAAAAAAAATCCAACCGAATCAGGTCAGAATCCGTCGGATTCGAGTCCCATGCCCATCTCAGCATACACACACTATGAAATGTAACATCATTTCTAGCCCATAAAATTATGAATTGCAAATAACAACTAAACCATATAAAATCATTCCAAGGACTCCAAACTTTAAAGAATTAAACACTTTGGATAAAAATTATTTATATGTTAGAACCAAAAAAAATCATAAGCATAGAAGAAGATTTGGTTTGCTTTTCCTTCTTTTTGTATGTGTTTGGTGAATACTTTAGGGTTTAAAATTGCTCAGAGTTACGAGGCAGTCAAAAGTAGATTTAATATTTGATTCTTATTTTATGCTCTTTTTCTCTCTTTTTTACTTTACCACATCGCTTTTAGGCTGCGTTTAGTTCACGGAATGTAAGATTATCAGTGAGAATAAAAGATTATCAGAGAATAGGATTACTGGAAATGTTATATTTTGTATTTGATTGGTTTAACATGAATGTAAGATTACCGTGTTTGGTTAAAGGAATAAAAGATTATTAGAATGTATATTTAACCAAATTGTCCTTATTATATATTTGTATAATATTACAAATTGTAAAATATTTATATATTTTCTTTAAAAAAAATAAATTCATAATATTTATATAATTTTTTACAAAATTAAAAATATAAAAAAAGTTTAATTAAAGGGTAAAAAAAATTTAATCACTGAACTTCATATAAAATTTTAATTATAGACTTTTTTTGTAAATCTAAAATAATTTAAGGATAAATTTGTAATTTAACCTTCGTAGAATTTTTATTATTCAATGACAGAAGAATAATATTTTTGAAAAAAAAAATTAAGAGCATTTTAGTCCAAAACGCCGGTAATGTTACAATACCTAAGAGAAAGGAGATAATGACATTCCCGGTAATATACCCCAAAAAATCTACTATCGCTAATAAAACATTACCGGGAATGAGATTCCCAACAAACTAAACATGGGAATCCCACAATCCTTGAACCAAACAGTTTTTGGCTTACCCTTTTTCCTTCACAGTATGTCACTTTCTTTGACACGTGTCATTACTACATGCATAAACAATACATGATAATAAAAATATATGGGTAAATTACATGCTTACTTACTTAACTTTACTCTTCCTCCTATTTCACTCACCGTACTTTTAATTTTTCAGCACCCCGTTACTGAGTAAACGGTCGAGTGACAAAAAAAGTTCAATGTTTAAAGTTCAGTTAGCAAATTGAAAAAATTGAAGTACGGTGAGTGAAATAGGAGAGAGAGTAAAGTTCAGTGAGTAAAGTCTACTACATGGACAAATGTGACCCTTAAGTCTTAAATTTAAATTAGCGTTGTGAATAAAGAAAATTATATTAAGAAAGTTGCATATATAATAAACCTCTACCGTATCGAATTTAGATTTATCATCTATAAATCAAATACAGATAACTACTAAAAAAATCAATTTCATATATGAAGTTGCAAAAAGTTGACATATTTAATATTTAAAAAAAGAGTTAAGCGACCAAATTTAAAAAAATGTTAAATTTAAAGATTAAAAATTCAATGATCATTCATATTTTTTTAAAAAGGATATAAATATATTATGTTGATCGACAATCACAAAAATAATATATAAAAATCATTATAAGTAAAATTAATCATTATAGTCTATAGAGTATAAATCTAAACATTATCTAAATAAAGATAATTTTAAATTAGGGTCATATATGATGTTAGATACTCGTATACCGTGGTGTTTAAACTCAGAACCTCAAAAAATAATAGTAATTTTTATCGTCGAATTCGTTTGATTCATACATAATAAAATGTAAATTAAAATACTTTTGAACAAGACTCGTATATGATTTATAGATAATAAAATTTAAAGTTCGGCACGTTTTAAAAACTCAATTTCATCGATCGATTCATTTCAATAAAAAAAATATGATCGACAATGTTGATCCGAATCTTATATTCCCATCAAAGTGATGAAATACTTTGATTGGAGTGTTAATAACACAACTAGAAATGGGTCATAAGAGACACACACCACTCATCAATTTTCAATGGTCCAACACATACTATCACCTTTCAAATTGCCTATCAAAATCATGAATTCTCACTCTCCTTTAAAGGGAGTGTTATATTTATCGAGATTTTAGATTCGAACACCAATGTTTATAGAATATATATATTATGAATATTTAAAAAAATTATAAATATATATTATATTGAAATCATTCTATATTATTTAAAAAAAACTCTACCGTAATCTCTACTTGCACCATACCCTTTTTTCTCTTTTGATATTTAAGGGTTTTTTTTATTACATAACTTTTTTTTGGAAAATAAAAATTTATTAAATAGATGATACAATAAATAAGCACGTAAAACTAAAGGTTTAATTGAAAAATAAGTGTCTAAATTATTATTATTTTTTGAATAGGTATCTAAATTTTTTTCGATTTATCCAAATTTAACGTTACAAATGTTATCACTTTAGGTGTCTCGACTGTAACGGTCATTAAATATGCCTGTTAAAGTACATGTGTCATGTTCTGATGATTTTAAAAATTTTATTTAAAATATAAAAATAAAAAAAGCCTAAAGTTTTTGGAAAATTTAAAACTCCAAAACTTTGAAAATCCTAATTTCAACCCTTCGACCATCGCCTTTTGCCATCGATGATCCTCCATCAGACCTCACCTCCACTTGACAACGGATAACCCCATGAAAAGCCACCGGAATAGGAGCTAATCAACATCTGTACAATGTACCCTAACAAATACCGACGTTGTAAATCATGACCGCACACAATCTCGACGGTTAATGGACAGCAAGGATGATGACGTCTGACTAGAAAGATGATAAAGACGTCGTCGACGGTGGTGGTCATGGACAACAAGAATGATATCTTTTATAACGTTAAACATTTGAATAATTCGAGAAAAAAATATAAACATATATTTAAAAAATAGTATAATTTAGGCACTTGCTTTCTCGTTAAGCCAAAATCAAACAGAAGATTAATACACCAGCAAAACACCCACGAACCCTCCTCCCCTTTGACAATTCATGATCATAATAACATCATTTTTTTTACTATATTTATGGATTTTATATCATAATTATCGATATCCAAATTACTATATCATAATTATCTGATCTATTGATCGACTAAACTAAATCGAGTCTGTAGAGGCAAAGACAATCTTACCAACCCAGTTTACTTCATTCACAATAGAACTACAAAACAATAATTTGAAGCAAAACACATTTCTTAAAACAAGTACGACAGTTACATCACAAAATCAAAAACTTCCATTTTAGAATTCGAGAATTCAAAGGTTTAATCCATAACCCCTTTTTTTCTTTAAAAAAATGGTATTTATTAGGGTTCATGCAACCACTCTTACGAGATGATATTTATTTCGGTTCGAATCTCGACATTTGTGACCGGTTTTTTAAAAAACGTCACGGACCGCGACTCGAGCCTAAGCATAAGCAGCTTGGGGTTTGGTCATCTGGTATCATCCCCCCTCCTCTGCTTGTATTAACGGCTTCGAGCATTCTCACCACCTCGCCCATTTCGGGACGCTTCTCCGGATTCGCGTCCCAGCATTTTCTCATGATGTTTGCTAGAGAACTCGGGCAGCATCTCGGGATATCCGGTCGTAGATTCTGCCGATATACACCACATCAAATAGGCTCAGTCATTTAACGATATATGTGAGCAGATAGAGTAGCAAACAAGCAAAATGAGCAAGGCAGCAGCATCCTACACCGAAAGCCGGTATGTAACCGGCATTAAAGATGCCGAAGAAAACAAATTTCAAATAACTATGGATCATATTCTTAGAATTATTCGAAACATTTAAAAATCTTCGAACTCTACTACAAGGCTTGCACGTAATAATCGAATCGGGAGTTAAAAGTGGAAAGAAGAGTAACCATTCTTCGCTGCTATTCAAAACCGGCAATCGAACACATCAACAAGACATGCTTTGCTGAGAAAATAGAATAACATGAACTAACCTGTCGAACGACTGCAGATGATACGTCGGCAAAGCTAAGATCGGGATAAGGCATATCACAGCAATAAATTTCCCACAGGCAAATGCCAAAGCTGTAGACATCACATCTTCTATTGTAGGGCTTACCATCAAGAACCTAAATCAATTTGGACAAAATGAAAATATAAATTATGTGGATGAGTAATCGTGCAACGACATAAATCGTGCTTCATCATGACATCCAAAGAAGGCATACCTCGGGGGCCATGTAGCCGAGAGTACCGGTTTCACCAGTCATGTCCTGTGGATTCTGAGCTTCAACACGAGCAACCCCGAAATCTGCAATTTTAAGATTTCTGTGAGCATCTAGCAACATGTTTTCTGTCTTTACATCACGGTGTACAATCTTTCTCGAGTGTAGGTAGCTAAGACTGCAATTTGGAATAGGCATACTCGTCAGCAGTGAAATATTATTCATAACTCTCAAAAGTCAAAACCAAAGGAAAGATTCACCCTCGTACCCTCTGGAGAGGTCCAGTGCAAGTTGGACCACAACCTTAAAAACGAGTTTCTTCCGCCGATTTCTTATCAAGTATTGTTTCAGTGTGCCACCAGGGAGATACTCGACAACAACACAGCATGCTTTAGAAGGAAGGGGATTTTGACTTTCGGTTGAAGGAGTTTTTGAAGGAATCTTAAGATTTGAAGTTCCCATTGAGGCCCCGATAAACTGTAACTCGAATTGAAGGGGGAGGGGAATAAGTTAGAACAGAAACGTTTCAGAAAATGGGAACCAATGAAAAACCGAGATCTCGATTATGCAAAGTGATAGCTAAACTTCTCACCAGCTACCTAAATGGATAGCAACGCATCAAAAAAAAGGCCAATATTTACATTAAACCATTCGATATCACGATGTTATCAACAAGTGAACATTTCAAAGTAGAAGATAATATTGGACCTTTGTAACATTAGGATGATTGAGCTTGTGCCAAACAGTAACCTCTTGTCGAAACGATGCTCGTAGAGCAGTGGTTTCTGCAGTTGTGGCAATACCATCCTCGCCCCAATCCAACAGCTTAACTACAATATCGTAAACCAAATTATGAACAGAAGAAGTACTCCGTAAAAGAAACATGATATAGTGGAATCTGCTAATGTTTGAATACACAAAACATCGAATTTAGATTTGATATTACAATAAATTTACAAGTAACAATAGAACATATTTAATTCTCGGTCAATTCTTCGGTGGCGGGAAGATTGAAAATAAAAAATCAGATCAAATGGGTTGAAACATTAAAAATTCTCCAAAAACCAACCAAAGATCAATAACTGGGAAACAGAGAGTAGGAAAACCAATATCAAGCAGAAATATCCCAGAATACAACAATCCAATACAAGATAAAGTCGATTGAATTAAGCGCTCTAACGTCGAGAGTACAAATTGAGCACCTTTGAACCATCTCATTAATAAAGCGAGCAGCCATCAAAAAGTACCGGTGTCCATCAAAATATCGAATACCATGCCTTAGGCTCCGATACAGCTATAGCACACATTAACCAGACAAATATTAGAGCTAACACTATCTAGGCGTCATTGGCATATATTCAGCTCTATGCATTCCTGAACTAATAATCCATGTTTAGTCCGTATTTTAACTCGACAAACTATTATTACAAAATTTAATCACAAATCAAGTTATCAACAGATATTTACAAGAGGAACTCAACGATTAGCAAAATACCAAAGAATTATTGCTGCTTAAACAGATTTCTCAAGCTGCATCAAGTAATCTGGCAATTTTGATCAACAACAAGTTACAAAGCATAATCATTGTTTTCTTCAACCTCTTATCTTCTGCATAAGATCAAAACTAAAAACAAAGATTACCTGCAACATCTTGATTGTCATAAGTGGCGCGATAGACGGTCCCATAGGTACCATGAGCTACAACATTCCCTAAATCCAACTTAGCCAAATCAATCTCCCATTCCTCCATAGGCCTTTGCTTCTCAATGTTCCTAGACCAAACCCTGCTTAAATGCTTCTCCAGCTGCATATCTAAGCTTTTCAAATCGATTTTATCGGCTCGAAAGATCATGTCTTTGCTGCTAAAGCTTCCATTGCCCTTCATCTTTGAATTTTCTCCAACACCTGGTTTCATTGGTGACTTGAGACCACTATCTTCTTCTCCACTTTTCGAATCCATGCTCGAAAAAAGATTCAACAATACCAACAACTTGAAAACAACAATCAAAATCCCATGGAATCAAACTGCAAAAAGGGTTGCAGAATTCCAGAAAGTGGATTAAATATCAATCAAATAAAAACAGGTGAAACAACATATATACATATGATGAAAGATCAAAAAGAAAAAACCCAGTTTCACCAACCCCAATTCCTATTAGAACTCTGTATCCAAAATTGACCTTATAACCCAACCCTTTTAAAGACCTTGAATTAATGAAATTATGTAGCTTTAATAAAAACAAAACAAAATCTTCCCATATAAACAGACAAGAACAGAGACAAAAATGCTAAAAAGTAAACCCTAAGAAAACAACCCAATTCCCACCATTACAGATAAAAATCAAAATTTTAACTTAAACCCCAAGGAGGAGAAAGACGCATGCAAAGCAGAGTAAGCAAAATGCAAGAACAAATAATCAAATGCCCTTTGAAAAAGAAGGTTTCAAAAGAGATAATTAAGACGAAAATGTTGACTTTAAATTAAATTTATATTGGGGAAGAAAGCAGAGGGAGCAAAAGAGGTCGGTGGTGGTGTCCTTGAATTGAATTCATTTCATTATCCAAAACTAAAAAACAAAAATGGAGAAGAAGGGTAATGGCAACGAGAGAAATAGTAAAAATAATCTTCTTTTCTCGGCTAAAAAAAGGAAGGGAATTTCTATGGATGAGATTAATAAAAGGACAAAATCAAATCCAAGGAAAGACCAAAGAATTTCATTTTGGATTTGGATAGAGAAGAAGATTTTGTTTATTTAAAACATGGATAAATCCATATTTAGTCACTAATATTTTTACTTATTCTCAATTTGATCCCTGCTAATTTCTGAACTTACAAATTTTCTCTTTTTTCTTTAATCTATTGATGATGTGACATAATTAGGGATAACCATGGGTGAGTTCATGTCAGGTCAGATTTTTCGCTCATCCAATCTAACTCGAAAGTTAAATCTCACTTCACTAGCGGAGCCAGTCTTGTACGAGGGGTGTCATACGACACCCTAAATTTTTTTAGAAAAAACTTTATAAATTTAACACCTCAAAATATTTATTTTTTAATTTGACACCTTAAAATATATTTTCTACCTTTGCTCCTATCTCACTTGACCCGAAACTCGACACAATTTTTTAGGTCAATACCACCTTCTCCGGTTCAAAAAAAAGTGTCGAGACAAAGAAAAAAGAATTCCAAATTCAAGGTCGAACGTGGATAGAAGAATTTATAGATTAAGTTGAAAATTTTATTAAGTTTAAGGACTAAATATTAATTTATCCTTTTAAGAAAAGCAAGGTAAAGAACAAAGATACCTTGTTGCATGTGTTGTTCTGTTTCCTTAATCAAATCAACCAGTTATGATTTTTTGTGTCCTACAAAATTCGTAAGGGTAAATATAACTTCGGTGTCCAACTTTGGCATTTATATTCAATTTAGTACTCAACTTTTTGTGAAATTAGGAACTTAATTTGTTTTAATATAATATAATATTAAATATAGCACTCGGGTTGTAAAAATATAAAATTATAAAAATTGCATACATCCAAAAAGATTATATCTCTCTAAAATAATTATATTATAGGTTTAATGTAATCAAATATTTGGCTAAACAAATAATTTCATAAAAAAATAGAATATAAGTTAATACTTAATATAAATAATTATAGATAAAATAACAAAAATTATAAACAAATTTATTAATTAATTTGATTGCAACATAAGAGTCCACCGTCCATACTCGAATTCATGTTGTATTTAATTACAAAATTAATGAGAATATTAATGTTAAAGAAGATATTTCGGACTTAACATTAAATAAAAAATTAATTAGAGTAGTTGTTTAACAAATCAAATCATGTGTCGAAGTTGAACTTTCTTATTGAATAGCCTTTAAGACAAAGCTACATAGATAGGGATGGTCATGGGACCTGAAACCGACGGGTTCCGAGTTTTTAAAAAAATTCGGGTTCGGGTTGGGTCGGATTGGGTTTTTTTAATGTGATGGTAGGGTCGGGTTTAGAGTAAAAAATACCCGATCCGGACCAACCCGAAAAATATATATAATTTTACCTTATATTTAAGAATAATTACAATAATATCCCTCTATATATTATTTTTTTCAATTAAGTCATTATTTTTATTGAATAAAATAATATTTTTAAATTATTTCAGGTCGAGTCCGATTTTTAAGTTATACATTAAGTCAAGATCGGGTCGGGTGAAATCTTGTTTTAATCGAGTCGGATCGGATCTCATCTCAGGTGGAGGATTTCTTTTTCTCGGGTCGGGTCAGGTCGGGTGGACTAAAAATCCGACCCAACCCGACCAATGTCCATACCTATATATAGAGTACTAGTCGGTTGTCCAAATTATACACGTATGATACAAATTATTATCTCTATAATTATGAGTAATTCTGAAAAGTGGGAAGATAACTTCGTTCTCTGTAATTAAAAAGAGCGTTATTTTTTTAATTATGAGTTTAAGTAATTATATTTGTAAGATATGTATGTGTTTGTCAATATTTTAAACATATATTACCTCTATAATCATCACTAAATATGGGTATAGGTCGGATTAGGTTGGGTTTCCGGTCAATCCAACTCGAACAAAAAATTATACACCTTCCGTCCAATACGAAAAAAATAATAAAATTATATTTAAGTTCTTCTAAAAGTTTGTAATTTAATTTTAATCTAATATAGAACTTCTAATTTTCTTATAAATTTTAAATTTAATTTTAGTTTTAAATAAAAGAGACTCTAGATCCTAAAAAATTATAAATGAATTAAGATAAACCGTTTGGTCAATCGATCAAAATGTAATATTAAAGGAATTTGTAGCTTGCAAGTTTCATGCAAGTAGTTTAAAATAAGGGAATATATATCGACTACTTTATTGTGTTGATTACATCGTTGAACCGTGTTAGATTATTGGTTTTTATCAAAACATTAATCGGGCCTTTATCGAATAAAGTAAACAAAAGAAACAAAACGCAAGTCTCGAGAAGTCCAAACGAGAATACAACTAAGCAAAACACACAAAATAAAACAAACACCACTACCAAAAAGAAAAGCCGAATAATCGTCTTCTCCACCATCTTTCGTAAAATTCGTTACTCGAAAGGAAGAAGAACTCGAGGTAGTAACTAGTCTGATCTGGTCAACCAGAGTTCAACTTGTTGTTTGAGTAATCCAAATAGATGGCACATTGAAGAAATAGGGTTTGGCCTTGCAATTAGTTGCCGTGCAGGTCAAGAATACTAAAATTTTAAGTTATGTCGATCAAAGGTCCTTCGAATTCCGCAGAGAATCAAGGAACCGAGGCAGAACAGTTGTTCGTGTCGGAGCGAATTACCGAGAGACTCGGAGCTCGGAAAGTGAAGAACGTAGAGAACCAGAAAGATAACAGTTGGACATGCTCAACACTTGCAACTCTCATTAAGCCCGTCACACTTGACATTGAACGATTATACATCTGACACTTATGGTCTTCAAACTCGAGACCTCAAGAAATAACATCAGTTATTTTACCACCGAGGTCGCTTGGCTCGTGCGATTTTAGAAAATTGTTTAAATTATGATCAATTGGAGTCATAATATTATAAATATTTACAATTAAATTTAAACATAAACTCGAACAACTCGACTCGACTCGCTTTGACTGAACTTAAAATAAATAAATAAAGTTTGAGTTATAAAATATGACTCGCCAAATTGAATAACTAAAAAATGTTTTTCTCGAATCGACTAAATCGAATATTCACCCCTAATTGAAAATTACTTAGCAATTATATCGATTTAGTTAAATATAGAGTATATCTTACCCTTTAAAACTATGAGAGAGTTATTTTGAAGAGGTATACTTTTTTTGTGATCTTTCGGGGTCTCAAGTGCATAGATTAGTTTTATAGGTATTTTAGAGTATTTGAGATATATAAGGTTTCGATATATATCAAATTATTAGATACCAAAATTTCATATATTTTTTTTTGTTATTTGTAATCTCTACGTTTATAGTGAATTATTTATTTTTCTTATTTGTAAAAATATAAAAGATTAATTCATATTAAATCTCATATATAGCATAAAGCTTATTCAATCCTTATCTAAATTTTAATTTTTTTTGCTTACAAATTACTATTAGAGATACCAATAGGGATGGGTATGGGACCTGAATCCGACAAGTTTCAATCTAATCCGATCCTATCAGGGTCAGATTTTTTAAAAAAAAATTCAAGTTCGAGTCCGATTTTTTTTTAAAAGGTTATGTTCGGGTCGTGTCAGGTTCGAGTTTAAGATGAAAAATACCCGATCTGACCCCAAAAAAATATAATTTTACCTTATATATTTATTTAATGATAATAATAATAATACTCTCCCTATATTATTTTTTTCAATTAAATTCCTATTTTTATTAAACAAAAATAATACTTTTATTATTTCAGATTAGATTGGATTTGAATTTTATCTCAAAAATTGGATCAAATCAAGTTGAAGTTGTAAAATTTTTAAATCAGGACGAATTAATCAAAACCCGACCCAAACCCAACCCGCGTCTCCATCCTAAGATACACAAACAAAAACACCTTACATAGAAAAAGAAAAAGGTATGTGGAAGCAGAGGACCATAGAATCATTGCTCAATGATAGTTGATAAAGATGTGGTTCGATAATAAAGCGACATATAATAATAAGAAGAGAGTTTAAATGTCCAAATGGAAAGAAATGATAAGAGTTTATGAGTGTTGTCTTACCATCTAAGCCTTATCTGTTAGGGAAAGTTATGTGTTTAGTATCTAAAATATTATTTTTATTAATTTTAATATATAAACTTTCAATTTTTTAAAATTATACCTAACATTTAGTTTTTGTTTCATTTTAGTACTTTACCGTTAAAAACCTAACAGCTCTGCACTTTTCATGAGTAAATTACATCATTCATCACTCAACTATCTTTTCACTCCTATTTTTGTGGCATGACATTTTTTTTTATTTTATTAGTATATAATTAAAAATAAAAAAATATTTGAAAGTTAAGTAATTAAATTTAAAAAGTAAACTTTAGTGACCAAAATATGAGTGAGAAGATAGTTGAGTGATGAATGATGCAATTTATCCATAACAAAGGTGCCATGTGCAAACCACCTGTTAACTAGTTTGAAAAAATTTAAAAAATTAAGTATTAAGCATAATCAAAACTGATAATTTACGTATTAAACACGTAATTTACCCTATATTTTATAATTCCCCCAAGAAATACCCAGAACTTTTAAATGGTCCATTCTCCAAGTGTCCCAAAGATTTTTAGCGTTGAATGGAGTAGGTTGTAAGTTGGTGCCCATCAAAATA